GATGCAGCTAGCATGACAGGAGGAAAGACTGGACAGAGTAATGGGGTCTTCCCCTTGTTACAGGGGTTAGCTATTAAATTGTTTCAAGCCTTCTCATGAAAGCATAGAGAGGGAAGCAGCTACACAATTTGCCAAGAGGAGAGCTGGAGTGAGGTTACAGCTCACCACAGCACTGTCATTTGATGTACTTTTCACGCTAAAGAACTTTCATTCTCATAAACACCGAATCTGGTTAACCTCTCTATCAGGTCACCATTTGTGCAGGAGTACTAACAGGAGCACAAATTACACAGCAGTCATAGTACACCATGCAACAGACATTCCTCCTTATTTCAAGTGTGTGCATGCAAGCTTTTAAGCACCTTTGAGCATGAAAAAAAAAAGCAGATTTATTTCCAAATGCTCCAGAGTTGATAGTTACCACAGCCAGACCAGAAAGCCAGAAGCTGTATTCAGAGCACTGCAAAAAGCCCTTGATGCCAAAGTTCCTGGGCTTTTGCTTTATTTCCAATCCTTGTTAGCCTGACAAACAAGCAAACCTCAAACATTTCAGTCTACAGGTAAGAAGTGCTTACACCCTACAAACCAGACTATACCTCAGACCTGTTCAAAGATGTTCAGCATAATTACAGTCGATCATCTCCTCTCCATTTTTATTTTGTAAATAAGGACCTTCCAGTAAGCTGCAGAACACTAAATAGAAATTCAGGTCATGGAGAGATTGACAAAAATTGAAAACCTCTTTATTTTAAACTAATTCATAATCTAGTAGACACAAGGTGTCACTCATTCCTGTTAGGTTGAGTAATTTTTAAAATTGGATATATTACGTAGTAGCAACACATTTTTCAGATAGCTCAAATGCCTACGAAAAGAACTAAGTGCCAGCCACACAGGTGTGTGGAACCTCTACAGGACCTATTCCAACAGTCAGTGTCTTCACTTTCCATTATTTTTTGCAGTTAGTTTTCACACTTTAAGAGCTCCTGTTTACATATATAAGTGAGATAAAGCTTCCAAAGATGCTGATAGCATTCAATCAGGTTCCAAATGTTGTGAAGCCTTCCTGTTAGACATTTCTTGCAACATTTACTTACTCCACTAATGGGTTATCAGCTGTCCATGCACTATTAGGTCTCAGCTACAAAACCAAGGACAGCTATTTCAGAAGTTTTAAAAAGGAAGATACCAAACACCACTTCATGTTCATTTCAGAAAGTTTATTGCACCAAATGCCGCAAAGAAATAGACCAAAATGATAGTGTACATAAACAACTATAAGAAAAAAAAAAACCATGTAGTTTGACATTGGTATTCAGTCATTCCTAAAAAAGCCTATGCTCTCCAAACATGCAATAGCAACACACATTTTTTTCTACTATGGAAAACCTGCTATGTATGTCAAATTAGCCCACTTGACCTCAAAAAAAAAAAGTCTAGAGTATATTCAGCAGTTCAGACTCGATTTTGATTTGGGCCTTTTTAACTGAAGTAGAACTTATACTTGAGGGATAAGCGATCATTTTGTGTAAACTTTATATACAAGAGTTTGGTGTGTCTGAAAAGGGTTTTGACTTTAAGAGTAAAGATGCATATAGTAGGGAGTGGGGAAGATCAGTCTATAACTCTGGAGGATGCCATTAGAAATGTGAATTACAGTATCAGTGTCTACTCATTTCCTGTTGGCAGAAAAAAGTTGCATACCTTAGTTCAGCGAGTACCTACTTAAATCAAAATGTTTAGATCTTGGTATTATTTGGGGTTAAAGAATTCATTTAGATTACATACTAGAATTTAGCAGTTCATTCCTCCCCTCTGTGTGTGAAGGTTTAGTCTTGCCTGAAAAAAGTATACATTCTTTAAATTGCACTGTGTAAACTGCATTTATGTGGGATTTTGGAAAGACTGTGCACTCCCACTTAACCAAGAATGTATTAAGTTTACAAAAAAACCCTACGTAATACTGATAAAACCAACTTTGGAATATTTGAAAATTAAGCTACATTATCAATTTTAAACACATTTGTACATTCATATCACTTTTCATCCTATTAAAATAAAACCAGAAACATGCCTTAAAGATGTCTAACAACACATCTGTAAATACTTACTGCCCTATCATGCCACACTGATTTACATAAACAGCAAGATGCTACCAAAAACAAGTTAAAGACTATAGTCAAAAAAAGCCCTAGAAGGTGGAATCCTGTCAACTGAGGTAGTACATTTGGTAGAGGGGAAAATATGTAACTATAGTCTAAAGCCTTTTAAAGGTAATAAACAGCTTTCATTTTGGATTTTCTTTCCCCCAAAACCAAAACTATGAGAACAAGATAGTTCATCATGTAATTTCTGAAGAGCAGCAAAATGTTAGAAAAAGCAGCAAGAACTATAAAGTTTTAGCCTGGGCTGAAGAAAATCCAAGTGCTTTTGACCACTGGCTCACATGCCACCTAGATTAATTTGATGTCTTGCCAAAAGGCAGATTTTTAAATTTATTTTTTTTTTTAAATACTTGATGTAGTAAAATCAGGTGTTACTGATCATGGTATTAGTCTTGAAATCACTGAACATTGCCTGACCTTTGACTTTCTTAGTACATTCTATGATAACAAAAGCACATATTTGTATGTTAGCACATATTTCTTTGAAGAATTGTCAGTCTGTTCAGATAAAAACCCAACTAATACTTTAAGAGAACTGGAATTGACTTTTAATGAACTCAGCTACTATTTTAAGAGTGACATGAAATAGAGAAAAGTACATGAGGGTTTCTATATACACTCAGGGAAGCAGTTTCATAACCTTACACATGCGCGCGCACACATTCTCCATCACAGGGGTAGTTTAGGAATATGCGACTTGCTCTATGGTTCTTACTTTGTCTTAACCTTGTGGAATAGAGAGTGATATCTGCTAAGAGCAATATGCAGAGGTAAGTTTACTTTCCAGCAGATAGAAGGATTCACAGACCAAAGATATGAAAAGTTTGCTTAACTATAAGCAGTAGGAAAAAAACCTGAACCATAGAAAGATTTTAGCCTTTTTAGGCAGAATACTAGGGAAAAGTATGAAAACGCAATAAAAGAAACATCTGGAATGTCAAGTTAGAAACCCAGCATATAAGGAACAGCTTTAGAAGTGTTGTATCAGAATATTAAGAATCCCTCCACTTGGAAACAACCTCTCTTCACAGTAAGTCAGTCTACTTATTTCCCTCAAAAAGCAACACAAGGTTAATCAAGACCCCCATCACATTTAAACAATTCACAATATGCACATTTCATTATTTCAAATCATTGAAAGTTTACTGTAGAAAAGTCCAAACATCAAGGTAGTAGGAAATAAAAACACTTTAATAAAAGTGTGTCCCTTCAGTGTTAAAAATCTGTAATCACCATTGAGGAGACCTCACAACCGGTGACCAGGAGTTTCTTATTAGAATTCACTATTCCCAAGCAATTGTGTTGCTAGCAATTTGCTTGCAAGCTGACAATTTCAGACACCTCATTCATGCTGGCTCACAACAGAACGGTCCAACATTGACTTTTCCATTTCTTTAAGAATGGGTTGGGTTTTTTTTGATCCTTTGTTCTCTCCTCAGTCTGGTCCATAGTTTCATATCCAGCTTAACAGTGCTCTATGCAAAAAAAAAGTAATTTTTTTTTTTTTTTTACATTCATGTTATCAACCACATGAAAACAGTAAAATACAAAATTTTATTTTGCTTTCTAGAAACACAGAAGGCCAGTATCAACTAGTGGAGAAGTAGTTTCTGGTCTCAGAGTAGTTAACCTATTAAGGAAAGGCACCCAGATGATAGTTCAAGATTTCTGTAGAATCAGAAAGGGTAATTGCAAACATTCATAGCAATATCAAATATTGGGGTTTGCCCCCTACATTTCATTTTACTTCAAACAATGCTCCTCTTTTATTCCTACTTCGAGTGACAACTAGTAGCTGGAGAAAAGTAATACTTTGACTAAATGTTTAGTGAAGGGTTGTTTGTTATCTTTTATTCCCCCAATAAGATTGTCTTCAGTTTGTGCCAATTGCTTGGTGTACGTGCACACAGACACGCACTAACAGCACTGGTATTATACAGAAGTTTGTCAAATTCATACTCCTCGGAGATAGTAATACTTGATGACACCAAGACACAGGTTTATTTCCCAGGACTACAGTCATACAGAAACTCAAAAGAGTTATCGAAGTTGCATCAGCAACAAATGTAAACTTGTAGCAGAAATTCCATAAGGCTTTCCCACAAAATCCCTATCTTGGAAGTCCATTCCATTCCACTTCTAGCCATGGGCTCATTTGGATGCCTCCTCATTAAAACAGAAGCAGCCATAGCCTTCTTAACCTCTTGTCCTTGAAGGAAAAAGTCACAACACCTCATGCACACCTCCATTCCCACATAACATTTGGCTGCTGAATCCAGGTTCCTTGTTCTGAGCCCACCTCTTCTACTATACAAAATCATGCATATGTTCTGCAAGAAAATCAAGTCCCATCCAATACACTTGTGTATAGGAATGCTATATACATAGTTTACAGTTCCTCCTCCTCCCCAGCAAAGAAACATACACCACGCCACACTCACAAGTGTAGTATTACAAAACCCATTCTAGTCCACTTGTTCTTTTAACTGTTACTTCATGGTTTTGAGCAGCGTTTTGGACGGCAGCTCCTGGTCTGCCACATAGTGTTAACTTTTGTCCTTTGAATAAAAATAAGATGCAAGGATGCAGTCACTTTCTTGATTTAAGTCAGAAGTGAGACTGTAAGAAAAACCTGAATGCCTTTTACATTATGTAAACTGAAGTCCTCCGATAAAACATCCGGTTGAAATCAGAATCGGAAGGTGGTAGAATGTACAGTCATCACCTGCTTTCCTCAGTGTTCCCCTTTACCAGTGTTTGGCACCTCTGTTCTTCATTCAACATTCCCATTTTCTTTATTTTACTTTAAGGGAATGACTATCCTGAGATTTTAATTTATAAGAGTATTTGAGCAACATACGGGGAATGAGTACTTGCAATAGCAGCCAACAAAGGCAAGTCATTGGATTCAATCCTAGAAATTAAAAAGAGAGACAGATTTTTAAATATACAGTCACCTTCACAAGAGAAGAGAAACACAAGAAGATATTTTTCATCCACTTCAAAGAAACTGGAAGCGTCTTGCTATGACTGAGTTCATTGTTTCATTATTATTTATTGCCATTACTCATAACATACCAGTAAAGGTAGGTAATAATGTTTAAAACCAAGAAGTACGCTACCATGTAAGTCAAAAGATAGCAGTATTACACTTTGTGGTATATAATCTTTTGTGGTTTAAATAAAAACTTTTATTTATTTGCTAAACCATAAGCCTTAGCTTGTAGTCTTACCAGCCAGTAGGCACCAATAAGCCCACTTTAAGAAGATACTAAACATCAGCTTACCGAAGACTTTGCATTTCATGTTTTGAATATAACTCGGTTCACCATATAGTAGCACTTTCTTACAAAAAATGACCAAAAGCTGGAATTATTAATTATTATGCAATAACAGTACCAGGAATGTCTCTTAAATGCAATGGTTAGTTTCCAACCATTTCCAAATGTAAAGCTGCTCAGAGGCCAGGATGTATGTATATATTTATATATATTTATACACATACACACACACTGAGAAAAGTGCTTATATCAGATTTTCACTATTTACAGCTACATTTCTCAGTATGAAATCTTGAACAGTCTGGATAAAGATAAATTTTTACCTACAGTGCTAAAACCCATATTCTTCACTTTTTACGCCTTGCCCCTCTTCTGCTGTCAGCAGGTGCATCCCTAAAGGTTGTATGCCAATCAAATAGTATTATTAGAAGGCAGCTGCCAAACAGGACACATGTCTATTTTCCTACACCTGCTTCTTGAGAAACCCTCTTCCCTCAAGATACAACTGCACCACCTAACCTTCCAAAAATTCTCAAGTATTTGTTGGGATGAAGTTTTCATTAAGGAGATCGAGACAGAAAGAGTGTGTATGAATGTGTGGATAACCTCCTAATGACTAAAATCCAAACTTTTTTCATTCTGAAGATTTAAGAATGACAAGTAATTTGTTCTTGCTGTAGAACTGTGTCTCCTCCTGATTTCCAGATAGCTCAGCAGAACCCATTTTTACACTTTATTAGACACATGAAAGAGGAGAGTGCTGAACATGAAGCAAGCAGCAAGTCCTCATGGGAACAAGATGTGAACATTCAGAAACTGAAAAGGAAAATGCGCTGCCCCAAGTTTTGCCATTGGTTAAGACCGATACCTGCAATACTCACCCCAAAACAATTCCTAGTTCTTTTACATGCACTCTTGTATGTCCTCGCAGATATTCTGAAAGCATTTTGCTTTTGAGATACATCTCTTGTAGTCTATCCTCAAGATGCATTATGCACTGTAAACACAGACCAAAAACCTCAGAATGGCTTTAGCAACCACATGCAAAATTTTACAGAAATGTAAGCACATCATTTTACCTTTTATCTTAGCCAGAACACCTTTCAAACTACATCTCCACTCCAAAATCCATAAGTCAATCGGTTTTGTTACAGCTGTGCTAGCAACATTAAAAAGTTGCACTAACCCCTCAAAGGGGAACCTCCTCATAGAATTAGGGCATTCCAGCTTTCTTGGGCAGCAAGGTTGTTGCACAACCTGCACACCCATTTCCCACTTAAGTCAGCCAGTGTTTCTCCTGACTTAAATGATTTTAACCAGGTTCAAAGACACTCGAGACATCTTACTAAGAATCAAACCAGAATACTTGGATCAAGACATCTTTATGTCAGTACTATTTTTTCTGAAAGACTCAGTTTAGACAACACGTCCTAAAATTAGCCCTCTAGCTCTAGGGATCTACCATTCAAGAAACTAAAGCTCAAGAAGTGGAAGACACCATTGTCTTTTTCATCATAAAATTATAGCTCTTTTGCTCACTACTTTACTGTAGAAGCTAGGTAACAAATCCTTTTTAGGCATTTGTTTTTATTAGTCCTAGGTGCTTCTAGTTTAAAATTGTTTAAACCGTTAATGCTGTTTGCCAAAAGGTTCAAGTTGAAATACCAATTTAATCACTCCCCTTTTCTTTCAGCAGTAGCATGCTAGAAATGACTGTATTTAAAAATAATATGCATGTGATGCACGGTAATTTCTCACACACCAATTGCAGGAGAGCAGATGAACCTTAGCTTCAAAAAGAGAGGGATTTTTTTGGTAAAACAAGGTCAGTAGGTAGGATGTCTTAACAGGTACTTTGTTCTAGGACAAAAGGCACGTTCAATTTGATATACTTCTCCTTTCCACAGGGATGACCACTTCAAAAAAGTTAAATTAGTTTAGCTCTCCAAAGTCCAGGAGATGAAAGCAGGAGAACCTCACATTATCAAATGTATAATCATCCGGTAGGCATAGACAGCAATTAGAAACAGGAGCAAATACCTTCAGGCCATCACCCAATGTACTTTTCAAGTTGAATGAAAACCATAAGTATTAGAAATGAGGTCCTGAGAAACCAGTTTTGCTAATTAAAAAATAATGACCAAAAAAAGACTCATGCTTGTCAGTAGCCTGCCATGTATTCTTCTGATGGTCTGGAGCAAGATAAAGATTTTTAATGATTCTCTGAGCTTACATCAGGTCTTAATCACAGAAGATAAAGAGGCATTTTAAAAAACATACTACATAGTAGTAGAATAAGATCACTGCCACCAGTGGCAGAAACGCAAGAGATTTTTGAGACTAGTTTGATCTATTTGCTTCAAGCAAGTTTTCACTCAAGTCATTATAATCATGACACTTCTGATTCTAGCCGAAAGGGAAAGATTCTTATCTTTTCCATTACAGGTAACCCTAATGCAAAAAGCCTATGTGCACTTCCTCAGTGGTTCAGGGGAGCATGCAGCTGATTCACAAAGTAGCAGTTCAATATATTTCAGTTCCAGTACTCATGCTAAAGGATTACAGATTTTTATTATTTTAAGTTGTGAGGGAGCAAGTAAGGAAAAATCCCACATTATTCTAAAAGAGACATTCTTTACATAAGATTATCTGCTCCTCCTGAACGCTAGCAAAGAATCATAAGCTTGGTACATGAATCCATTTTGTTCAAAAATGTCCACACTGAGAGGTACAGAAGGTTGGTTTTTTTTTTTACGTTAGCTTCCTCTGCAGCTTTTCTCATTGACTAAATGGGAAAAAAAAAGGTCAAGTCACTTCTAAAAACAGAAAAGGAGCTTAAAATGAGTTTAAAGGTGTAGGTAAAACTTTTGACATAATGCTGACATGCAGCAGTTGTGATCATCACTTCCCTCTCACCCTGGCATACTGCAAAGCTCTCTGCAGTATGGTTACCAGTCTGAAGTGCCACAACAAAGATATCACCATTTGCCTTCCATCCAGTCTCAAGCTGGGTATTGTTTTCTGTCGTACCACAAAACCCACAAAAACTTATTAATCTGAACAGTAACTGCATGTAAAGAAACATGCACTCCTAAAGGAAACTTCAAACATACTGCATTATGCTCATGTCTGATCGATATTAGTACATATATTTTTGTCAAAATTTAAATCAATAGAATCACTACAATAAAAAAGTCACACTTCTCCCCCTAGAGTTTAGTGGAACACTTAACTTCAATGCACCAATGGTTCTGTTTTAGCAAAGAGCTGTAAAATACACTGACAGAAGGATCAAAGTGTCTCTAACATAGAGTATAAAAAAATTTACAAACTACTAGCACTGTCACTTCGCTGTTCCTTTTTGTAAGAAAAAGGAAATAAAAAAATCCTGAAAAACATTCTACCTACAAACCCCTCCCACACCAAACAAAGCATACAGAAATCGCATACACAAACCCTAAGGCAACATTGGAAAGAACACTTCAGTTGCAGAATCAACTATTCAGTTTAAAAATGCCAGAACTTAAGGTGTTACTGTGCAAGTGTTAGGACATAAAAGTTGCATATGTTTCAATGCCCAGAAGAATCCAGAGCCATCATTGACAATGTACCCACATATTTTGCCTACCACTTGACTGCAAGAACTTAGATAATCAATACCACCAATTTTATCCAAAACACTGCCGACTAATACCATTTACAGCTGTTAGTGTTTAGCTGTATCTTTGTCTTCCATCTGCTAGCACAGTCATTACAAAAAGGCTTCCTACAAAGTTTCTCAAGGCTATCTACTGAAGGACAAAACAATTCTGTTAATTGAAAAAGCAGCAACTACTAAAAAACACCCCATCTCCCCTCACATACAATTGTGCATTAAAAACTGTATTATAATTACCACTGTCAGACTCATGGGTAATTTTGTCGTAATCAGCAAAACGAGCATTACTGATTTGCTCTGAACTCCACTACTAATGAGGACAGGAAAGGATGCTGTGGGTTAGGGAGTATGCAGTATGACAAAGTAACATCCCCTGCTGCAACCCACCCAGCCCCCAGGTGTTTTCAGGTTTCAGTCTCCTCCCAGCAATCCTATGGAGGCATTGGCAAGGCTGAGACAGCACTTGCTGACAGGGTTGGCTAAAATGTGCTTAAAACAGAAGGGTCAAGTAAACACACAGAGGCACAATTATTTGGGGAGGAAAGAGAAGAGGCATCCACTGCATGGGGGTGAATAGAAAGCCCAAGAATAGAAAGTTGTATGCTAGACACAGGCTTGGGTAGATAGAAGCTTCAACAACATAAAGAGTAAAGAAGTGTGGAAACTATACAAACCAAAAAAATAAAAGCCAAATTTAACGAGTCCTAATCATAAACAGGAGGACCATGCTAAAATTGCCTAAAACAACTTTAGTTTTGGCATATGTATTTTGGAGTAGTTAACTCTGATCTATTAGATGTAAATTACAGATAAAACAGTATCTGTTATTGGACTGTAGCATGCGTTCTTTTAAATATGTTGTACCAGCTCTGCATTACTTCAGGCATTAGTTCATTGGCATAGCAACATGGTGCACAAAACTCTGCATTTGCTAAGCTAAGCAATTTTCATTACCTTCAGTCTTCAGTAAAGAAATACTTACGAAGTCAGCTGGGACGTTGAGTTTGTAAAGCTGTAAAATAGACTGCAATAAACTGGATACTTGACTTGAAACCAAAACATCCTTGCCTAACTTCATATTGTCCATCATCTTTCTCTGGCTTGTGGCTACTTGTACGTTCCACTTATCTGTGTCTGCAATAATGCAGACGGCTTCTGCTATGGGCTCATCTAGCACTGGATGCTGCAACAGATACAAAATACAAACATTATGTGACACTTTCATATACATTTCCACAACTTAGTTTGAGGTTCCACTTTTATTCACACTGAGGCAGGGAATAAAAAAAGTCATCCAATGATGTTTTTGTCCAATAGGAAACCAAAGGCATCTCAAAAATGACAAGGAATACCAACTTCAGTGACAGAGTTTACATTCAGCAGCATCAGGTCAGTTAAGTCTTAACTGCCAATTTGATCAAGGCATTTAATTTTGTTTAAGTAGTGCTTCCAAATCACTACTCCAATGTTTTTTCTTCAAGTATTCTACCTTCCCTGAAAAGGTAAGTTTCTTCCAAAATGAAAAGAGTAATAATTATACTGATCCAGTGATGGTGAAAGTATATTTAATGTTTCAGAGATATGTGAGGGATTTCACTATGCACAATCAAGGCAGGGTATGTATGAAGGGACAGTATTGTATTAGACCAGTCTGATGTTGTTTAAAGAAGTTACATACACACACATCACTGTTTCAGATAGTACATGAACTCATTCCAGCAGGATGATTCTTAATTGCTATAAGAGAGAAGCTGTTGACAATTACTAGATAAACACTTAAAATTGCATACTAAGGTCACACCTTAGTGAAAGGTTAGCTATAAATTAATCATATAATTCAGGAGTACCTAAAGTAGGAGTAAGAACATGGCAAAGTTCTTACCTATAAACAGTTACTTTCTGTAGTCAGTCACTTCTGCTACAGTCTAGTATAATACAGGCCTCCACAAAACTTCATCTCCCTTGCAACACATGCCAGTAAGTGGTAAAATAAGATGTTTCAACTTGCATATCATTTTTATGAAACATAGATAATTCTGTCTGCTATTGTGACTAAAAAGAGAAGCAGTCTGAGGTTTTTCTCCTTGTTTGTAAGTTGAAGTTGCAAACAATTTTCGTTGTGTTTATCTTTGAAGAGAAGCCTTAAGCGAGTATAAGGGAAAGCACACGTGATTCTTGTGTGAACAGGCTTTGCACACAATTAAGGGCTTACATCTTTCAAGAAGGAAGACATGTCAGGTGTGGCTGTTAAGAACAGGTAAGTAGAAAGAAACCTATTCAAAGGACCTGCTTCTGTAGATCTCAGTAATACCACAACTCCTACTATGACTCAGAAGAGTTAACTCACATGCATTGCATGAAGTAGGTCTGCTAGTAGACACTGCTTGAGTTTTTCATCATTATTTATTCCATGCAGCACTAGATCAGGTATATATGTATGACAGTAACCACCTAGAAGTGATCTTCCAAAATTTTTCATGCATTGACTGCTGATTGTATTTGACCTAAAAGACAGAAATACAAAGCAGGTAAGATTCTTGCTTGACAGACTGCATTCAGATTTTACATGAATGCAAAGTTTGGTTTATCACTCCTGCTTCTACTACAAGTATTAATCAACAATTGTACTCTAAATACAGTAAGCCAATTACTGGTGCTCTTTGAACCATGGATTTTAAAAGCTGAACTTTAACAACATATTGATTCCTTCAAATTTATGAAAAGGTAAATCTACATGTATTAAAGCTTGTGGTATGTATGAGCTCCCTGTTCTGCAGCTAACAGATTCGCTAAATTTGAGTTTTCTCCAACTCAGCCCAGGGAGCAAACTCTTTCTAGCTGCCTATCTTAAGCATCAGCAAGCTTCACGTGCACCTGTAAAGCTCTAAAGTTTTCAAATAGGATGCCCTTATTTATTTCAAATCTGTCTTTGATTTGTCAAATACGTCAAATCTAAACAGTTATCAGTTTAAGCAAAGCTAAGTTTTGCTTGTCCTCAGATGGTCTGTCTACATGTCTACATTAAATGTTTCAGGCAGTTTATATAAAAAAATGCTTGATCACTTTTTATTAGACATTTCAAGAACACTTTTGTCATAAAACTTCACTACCTAAACCTGCTCTGTCTTGGTTTTCTTTTGGCCAAGTCTGTTTACAAGACTCCTAGCTACATCAGTGTCTGTTATGGATTTGTTTGCAAGGAACTTAGTCAAGCACCCAGAGGATTTCAGACTTGAAACCCTGAACATCTCTAAAGTAGCAACTGCTTTTGACTCCATTTAGTTCTAAATTAAACTTCTTTACCTTGGTAAAGGAAGTTCCACTTCTGCAAACTCTTCAAGTCTTTTGCTGACATTATCACGATGCACTTCATCAGGGACACAACAATCACCTTCTTCATCACTAGCTCCAAGAGCACTGTCTGAACTCTCATTCCTTGGAATGTCCCCTTCAACTCTGAAGGGGATTTTCCTTCCAGCATCCCCATAGGGGACATCTTTAGCACCTACTTTAGGGGAATCCGGTTTGACAGCAGAAACTACTTCTACACAGCCAGGGGAATAGTTCTCCAGATTGCCAGAGCATAAAGTTCTAGTTTCTTTCAGGCTTGGCAATTTTACAGTTTCTATGTTATCTGTGGGCAAAAGTGGTTCACTAGATACTGTGTTCACTAAATTAATTTCAGTTCCTTTACTTTCCATATGTTGGTTAAGTATACTCTCCTTCCCTTCACAAGGTGGGATTTGTGCATAACAAACATTACGTTTACTGAAGGGTATAAAGGCAGTTTCACAACTTTTTTGATTCTGGGAAGCATCCATGGTCAGATTTGTGGAACTTGAAGCACAATGTATCACCTCTGGATTTTTTCTGAATGCCTTCATATTTTCTTCCATTTCTCTTCTATGAGTTTCCAAGTCTGACTCTGGTGATGCAGAACTTCCAATCTGAAAGGTGACCTTTTCTAAGTGTGAATTCCTGTGGCTGGACCTCTCAGGACAAGGTAAGGCAGATGACCTACTAGACAATTGCTTTTCTACTTTTCTCTCATTCTGGTTCTTGTTCTTCTTTATATCCATTAAATCCTCCAATTTAGATGGCTCTTCAAAGTGGTAGGATACGATTCCTGTATCAGTGACAGTTCTTTTCCTACCATCGGCTGCTCCTTTACGGAAACTGCTAGTTAGACAGTCAACAGATGCTTCGGAGTTCTGACTGGCCTTTCCTATTGCTTCTCTCTTTTCTTTTGAAGAGGCTGGGAGAACACGAGTGCTTTCTTGGTCATGTGCCCACTCTGCAATACTATTGTTCTTACTTCCCTCATTCTTTGGAGGTAGGATTGGAGGCACAAGTGCAGGTTCATTCTTAACAGTGACAACCACATAATCAGACTCTTCTACCTCTCCCTTTTCCAGTGCAGTTGTGATTTTGCTTCCATTTAGCACTTGCTCTCCTTCCCCAGCCTTCTCACTCCATGTCAGCTGATTTTCCTGCAGCTCAGAGCACCGAATGAAGTAAGTTAGAACATAAAGCAAACGCTGCACCAACTCCTTGCGCTTTCCAACAATAACGGTTCGGGTCAATCTAACTGGAGAGCCTATGGCACCGTAGAGATCACCTATACAGGAAAAAAAAAATTTCACATGCTTATGTTTGGTTGTAATATAAGCTATACTCTTTAAATTCAACACATTTTGAAACAGCATTTACTATGGACACAAATCAGACAGTTTCTTTCACAGTAAGGTCATAAAAGTTTAAAACAAATAATAACAAAAGAAGTCCCCTAGCACTTGTTATACCTGCCTTGTGTGCAGAAGGGTTTTGGTGTTTTTGTGAGGGATTAGCTGCTATTACTCAGTTTCTTTCTGTTCAAAGCCACTAAGGTTTTTAGTTACATGATGCTTACAGGATATTATCACTTGGAAATTGACACAACAGGGGGTGAAGAAGAATATAGATCCAGCTAAACTCTGAAGCCAGCTATACTATTTTCTATTTTTCTACTCTTTTTTTTTTCACATCAAAGTTATTCTTTTTTATTGCAGTCACTTTTTCTGTTAAACACAGAAATTTTCATACAGATAAAATCTAAATTATATTTTTCAGGACTAAGATACCAAAAAAGTAAAAAAGGATTCAATATTAGCTTAATAAATAAGTCATAATCAGAGCTTCAGGAAGGTTTCTACCAAGGGCAAGAGGACCTCTGGTTTCAACATGAGGAGACTAAACTAGCAAAAAACCCCCAACCAACCCCAACAGAACCACCAAACACCACATTTATGCCCAGCCTCCTCTTTGTCACACAAAATATACAAGGAGTAAGGCTCCTGACTCCATTCCTGCAAAACAAGGATCAATGAGACAGGAATTTCACTGCTCTCACTATCTCCCCCACCAAGATCTGCCATCTCCCATGATGCCAGCAATGCACTGGGAAGGTGTGGTGGCAGTGTGCTGTCTTCTCCCCGTTAAGAATACCCTTGCAACTAGGTCCATAGCCCATAGACTAACATGTCAGCAAATTCATTCCTTAGTATTGGAAAGCAGCCTTCAGACTACTTATCTAGAATTAACCTCAATGCCTGGTGGGCCACAGTGAGCAAAAATTTGGAAAGGAAACGGGAAGATATCTTTTTAGTTTTGAGTTGAATACAGTTGCTATGGAAATCAGATTCAGCCTTCATGTTCATTTGCACAATTGACTTTCATATAAAACCATTACTAATAAGACAGCACAAAAAGTCAAAATTGTAGTCTTCAAAACATACTAATGCCTACTGTTAAGATTGTTAGGTTGAAGCTGATGTTTAAGAGACAGTACTATATCTTCCTGACAGTGGTACAGTTGTATCAGTATGTAATTGTAATTGATGTGTAATATGTAATGAAAACATAGGTCTGAAGGTAGAAGGACAGGTACATCAAAATCCTTTCCTTGATAAAAAGTAATTTCCATTTTAAAGCACTAAGCCCCATGATTTTTTATTTCACATACCACACTGCCCCCTTTCTTAAGAAGGAGACCAGCAGAGGGCAACATCTTACTTTCATTATCAGTTACTGCAACTACCAGATAATGGCTTTTAGGCTTTACAAGAACTAAACGAAACCAGAAAGCATTTTGAGTTCAGGCACTGAGAACTTGGCTAGGCCAATGCTGGTAGCAACATACAGCCTGGGAAGGCAAGAAGAGAAACAGATTCTTGACTAGTCACCAGCGGTGGCTCTTGGGAGCGACCACAAGAGCTACTGCTGATCTTACGCCTCCAGTCCAGCTGTTTTTTGTAACCCCAGGCCTGGCTCCATCCTCAACACCCTAGCAAGCTTCTGTTTTCCCCCTCCAAGTCTAATCCATTACTCCTCTGCATAACATTTTAAAGACATCCTAAAACAGGAAACACTTCAGCTACAACTACATGGCCAAGGTAGCAACTCTTTAGTTTCATAAAAATTGCTGAGAATAACAACCATAACTGAGACAATTAGCAAGAAACACAACCAGTAGCACAGCGTAAAAGTCACATTATTGCTTTAGTGTGCATGTGTGTTATTTTACATGGCAATATAGTATATCAGTTAAAGTTAAGGCCAATTTGATGTCAGACTCAGAGCTGCTGCCAAGAAGAGGAAGAATTTTCAAGGATTTACCACTGGCAGCGTTATTCTCTCAGTTCTCACTCACCTACTCATTTGACAGCAGTTATTGAATCCCCTGTATCAAGATAACTTATAAGCTATAAAATATTTGTCAGAGAACAGCCTGAGGAGCTGGGCATAGAAAGAAGAATCTTGGCCCAAGCCCACTCACACAACTGTGAATGAATGGAGGTACTGCCAGTTGCCAGATTTCTACTGTTGTCTTGGTGTCCATCCTAGCTCTATGAGAAAGAGATAAAAGGAGGTAACCAGGGCACTTTCAACTACAAAGGGCCTCCAAGGCCCAGAGAACTTCCCTCAATCCAGTCTGTTCCCTCTTGTTCTTCCCAGACTGCTCAGATCATTCACAGCACTTGCACCATCTTCATACTTCTATACCAAGTTACTTAACCAGGCAGTGTAACAGAGGATGACAAGGGACCAAGGAAAAAAGCAGAGCACTCAGGCTATGCAAACAGGCCTCCAATGCTCTGTTTAACCAGGTGCAAGACATCTGTTGATAGCTCTGCCCAGCTTACAGCAAGGCAAATCAGCAAACATGATCTGGATCACAGGTAGCTCTTAGATATGAGGAGTGGATGCAGGAAGGTGCCAGTTATAGAGAGGTCTGAAGCTTTCCATTTCCTACTGACCAAGCTGTGCCCAGAGAGGGTTATATGGATGGGATTTTGCCAGCATGTTCACAGACTGTGATGTGCGCTTCTCGGAGAAGGCTTTTATGGGAGGATGGTCAACCGGCATTACCGTTGGGACCCAAGCCAGATGATATGTCAGCACTGCTGTTAACAAAGCAGCAAAGAACCTAGGAAAAAGAATATGACTGAAGTAACACCAGTAAAAGAATATTAAGTGCTTTAACACATCCACATGCACTAGGAAGCACACAAGAGGTGGGGTTGGGGTTTTTTTGGGGGGGCGGGGATTGTTTGTTTGGTTTTTTTAAGAAAAAGGAGATGGGAGAAGCTTACTGATTTTTGTTGATCTGTTCTATCAGAAATGTAAATTCTTTAAGAAAACGCTGGCATAGCTGATTCTTTTCCAGGGTGCTGGACATCATATTAAGCCACACAGGCTCTGCAATTCTTGGAACAGAATACAGGTTCCAGATGGTAACTCTGCTCAAAGAAAATTCCCCAAGAGTAAGTGTTAACATGCACATTTCAACCTTGCAAATACAAGTAGCCCCTCTCCTCTTCTATTGTCCATTGATTTTTCTTTTTTTTTTTTTTGTAAGATCTAGAAGACTAAACAAACTGGAAGAGTTTTCCAGACATACTAATTACTAGTGTCCCAGAACACTAGTCTGTTTAATTTAGTGTACCAGTAACTTAGTGCCTTCATATGAATTATATATTTGTCTTCCCTTTCTTGCATTCCCCTGTGTATTTGTATTCAGAGAAACAACTCAGAAATCATTTTGAGGTGGGACAGAACCAATTTTATTCATTGCAGTGATTTGCTTCCACATTCCAGACATTACAGAAACTCCATCCCACCAAAGCCTTGTCTGTCTCTCCTGGGCTGCCTTTCTTGGCCTCTGGCCATTCCTTCCTCTCTTAGGTACCAAAAAGAGAGCCTTTGACAGCAACTTTCTTGTCAGTTACACTGTTCAGCATCTATAGCTAGGAGTAGACAATTCATCTGCCTGAATACAAGAATTGATCCACTCTACACAGGCATCAACGGAAGCCAACTCTTCATGAGATCTTAAAGACTTTAACTGACAGTCTCAGGTACAGGTGGGTGCAACAGAACTACTTTTACTCTCATTCTGAAAACGGCTGAGCTGGTTTTGCTAAAGTTTTCTAAAAACACGTACCCAATACAGAAAATTCATTCACACTAACTTCAAGACTGGCTAAATTAAAAGACCCTGCATTCAGTTGCTTATAACTGGAAGTGACAAGTATCTTTAGAGGGGCATGAGAAGAGCTCTCCTTGTAATTCAGAATTCCATCAACTCACCTGAATTCTCCCAGGGCATCCATGACACGGCTGATATAAACCTGCACTCTTTGGCTGGATTCTGCTATTTTTCTACATGAGATCATGGCCTTGATTAAGAGTTAAAGACACAAAACAGCTTCTTAAAGGATTCACATTCTTCATCTTTTTAAGCTTCATTAACATGTCAAAATAATTAAGATCTAGCCCCAGTGCTATACAGCCACTCAGGACAGCAATAGCTGCCAACCTCCCTCCACCTCATGAGAGACCAATCCCTAAGACTGGACATGGGGAGAGAATAGAACATTTTTGAGAGAGTAAGGGGAAGACAGCAACAAACATTTTGTGTATCTCTTTTAGTGACTGCATGAAAGGATAGAATACCATCATTTCCACAGTCTCCAGGGAGTCAAGAAAACCTCATAGTGAAATACGGTGAGAAGGAAAGAAAAAGAAAAGCCACCCATAGCATAAAACTCTCCATTCTCATTCTGACTAGAAAATAAACGCTGAATTCCTACACTGGGCTCAGGTTCAAGACTACATGTGTAAGGAGGGAGGGAGGGAAGCTTGAAACCACGCACCTTCTCCCACTCTTCATCTATCAGATTCTAGAATACTTCATTCTGTTTGACACTTAGTTTTCCACATTAAGCCAAAATAGAATTCTGTACCTTTTCTATTGCATATTTCAGCTTGTTCATGTGAGATTCAAAAAGAGGAAAGTGAGAGAAGAAGAAATCCTGGAAGTTTCTCTGTGCTTCTTCTTTTTCAGGCAGAGAAAAGATTATGCTGATTGCAATTTTTTTCCTCCGAACCATTGCAGGATTAGAGCTGCAACTTTCATCAGCCATACTAAACATTTCTTCAGTGGACCTGTAAGACAGATTTGTTAGGACAGTTACTTAAGTACTGAGAGGTAATTTGTCTTCTATCCATATCTCTCTCTATAGTAGAAGGTAATTCATTCTTAGGTCTCCTTTGACTGACTACAAAAGACTTTGCTGTCACCTGTCTCTGAACAGAGGATATCCATCAAAATGTCAGGCAAGACCTATGTTTGCTCAGATAGGAGGAAGGCAACCCCCAAAGATGCCAGCTCCTAAAGTGGTGTAAACATTTTCCTCTGAAAGAGAGCTACTACAAAATCCCTCCTTCTGGATTTATCTTTAAGGGAGACTAAGAGAATGGAGACAATATACAAAATCATTAGCAAAAGAGGTTAAAGGTAATTTCAGAGCTGTGAACTGCATTCAGCACTCAAAACTCCTGCCTAGGTGCTCAGCAGTGTGTCCATAATGCTCTTGAATCTATACTGCCGCTCACGAGGGAAGTTGGGAAACATGCTACTTATACTATTCCAGCATCTTAAGATGGATGTTTTAAGGCACTCAACCATGAAAAATAAAACTTTCTATTTTAACTGAAGACAAAATGTCACCACTTAGTAATTACTGTGAAAACACAAACTTAACACCTACAAATACATGTATGCCTAGCTCAAAGTTGGATATACTTCAGTTTAAAATGCTTTGTGTTCTGCTAAAAAAAAACCACCCAACAAACCAAGAACAAAAACCAAAACAAAAAAACCACAGTGGCTATTTTACAACCATTATTATTTCCCCAAGTTCTGTTTATTCACTTGACAGTTCTGCCACATTTCTTTCAACAGTTATGCCACTTTTCAATATTTCACATGGGTTGATACTGAGATCAATACTGCTCAATATCTTCATTATCAGCCTGGTCTGTGGATCAAAACACACCTTCAGCAAGTTTGCAAATGATGCCAAATAGGGGGGAAAATGGTTAATACACTGGAGGGCATTGCCCAGAGAGGCTGTGAAATCCCCATCCTTGGAGATTTTCAAGGCTCGATTAGACAAGTACCACAGCAACCGGATCTAAATTCCAAGCTAGTCCTTTTGCACAGGCAGCCGATATGGATGATATCCACAAGTCTCAGCCCAGCATAAGTTCTTCTGTGATTACACAAAAGGCCGGCAATCCCCTCATCCTGTTCCTCCATAAATACTGGCATTGCTGTGCTAGATACTGATGCTGGATTTACAGAACTATTATTTTTTCTTGCTTAAAGTTTCTTGATCAATTTCACTGAAAAAAAAAAGTATATACATGAATGAGTAAAATAGTATGGTCAAAATGTCTTTTGGAAGGAACTTTAATTGAATAATGGCTTTTAATCCACTGAGAAATTATAAGGGGAGAAGGGTAAGAACAGACTAGAAAGCCATTAGAACACAAATGGAGACACTCAGAGCAGCAGCTCACATGGAAATAGCTTGGTTTTGGAGTTTCTTTGTAAGTTAAGACTGCAATATCAGTGAGTGGTAATTAAAGGCTTGAAGGCTTTTCATATCAGAATTATCTTGAAATGGAGCCTGTGACATTTATAGACCACTATGAAGCAATTAACAAGAGGAAAGCCTGAATGCTAAGCATTCATTCTAAGTTCATTCTAAAAATAAGTGGTTTACAGTTTAATTGGTTTGACAAAGTTAAATATACAAAAGTTTCTCATCATCGAGGTATGAGTCCAGGAATACAGGAAAAAACCACACACAATAAAAGCCCAGAAAAAACCAGCTTGTGGGAAACTAGAGTTCAGGACAGAAACATAACCTCATTTGAACTTCAGGAACTTGCATGCAGAGACAGAAATTCCCAAGGAAGTTGGGAAAGGATGGTCAGTCATCATCTAAGAAACATCACAAGCTTTTGTACTGCTTCCCAGGAACAGAAATTGAAGACTTTAGGTCTGCAAGAGAAGCCTTTTCAACAAAGCTGCTAATTTAGCTTGCCTGCCAATTGACTACATGGAGTTCCAGCTAGACATCTCATTTTCTTTGAGCTATTGGCCTAAAACATCAGTCACAGAGACTGTAGAATCTTGGCTGTACAAACTGAAGTGCAAACTCTGCTGTCACTGAAGTATTCAACCAGAAGCCTACTGTTTCTCTAGCAAGTAATCAGAAAACAAGTATCTGAAGAGGCTTTTTGGCTTAGAAAGAATCCCAATTCAAGAGTAAATCTAGATAGTGGAAATAAAAATGTCCCGTTTCCAATATCTTTCCCCAGCATAGATTCTCCAATGTGGAAGAAACACAACCTACTCCCTACAGCAAAGCAGCAGCCCAAAAGGGCTACTTTCCTCTAAACAATTTGTTACTTTCTTAACACTTTGAGGAAATTTCTATTTGTGAAACTTCGACTACTACTTAAACTGGGCTGAAATTACCTTATTTACCCTAAATGTTTTAACTTTTTTGCATGCACTGCTCTCAACCCTATTTCTTCAGGAAACTAGACCAAAAAGTACTTCAATTTACTGAAAGCAAAATGTTTACTAGCTTATTCTCAACTGCAAGCATGACTTAAAAAGCATGACTGCTATATTAGCACCACTGCGTGATTCTTCATGTTAAAAATGATTCGGAAAGAATATCCAGGAAAAGCTTCAAGTGTTGACCCTAGGGAAAGAAGTCTCTTCCAAAAGATTTTTGTTTTGGTTTTTACTGACCACATATTTTAACTGGCAGCTTTTAAGCTTCCTTTAACTTAAAACAGAGAAGAGGGAGAAAGGCCAAAAAGTAGGAATTTCTTGTAGCTCTTCATTAATTCTATGCTGTCTCTGAGTACAGGTGGATGAGTACATATGAGCAGATAATCAAGAACCATTTGCTGTTTTGCAGCTGACAAGGAAAGAATTTGCTTATTAGCTATGAAAGGTCTGCTGCATTCCATGCTTTGTTATGCCACTGAGCTACAAAAGCTAATAAAATTCCAAAACAGAAGCCAAGCTTTTTGATCACAGCTCTTTTTTTTTCTTCCTGTTTTGGCAGAAGTCACATCAGGAACATCCTGTACCAGCCAGAAGAGTCGTCATGGGCTGTTACTCCAAAATTTCAGTAACTGCTCACTAGTCAGACTTCATCATAGTATAATGTAATTACGGCAGCAGTGCTGTTACAGTCCCTTTCATCTCAACAGGATGCTCTGCTCCTTCAGAAACAGTTTAACTTGCTTTTCAGAACGTGGCTTCAGACACAGCCTATACGTTCAATAAAAATGTTTCAAATCAGGCCTTGCAGTTCATATTCTGCCAAAACCTGATCTTTCTTCATATTGGCAATGTTATGTAACATGCATAGAAGTTAGGCTGAATTGAGAGCATTTAATAACAGGATTTGTCCTTTTAAAGAAAAGGGGCTTAAGCTCTATTTAGCTTAAATGCTTGCCAAACAGCTGTTGTAAGAAGGAAGGTGTTGCACTCACCACCTTGGAACAATTCCATTCTCTAAACTGGTTGTCTGACTTCGGAGCCAGCGACGTTGGTAGCTGCTAGAAGATGATGAAGAAGAGCTTGGAGATGGAAAAGGAGTGACCAGAAGGCTGCTCAGAGATGCTACCAAGAAAGCAAGAAACCCCACATATATTGAATTACAAAGTGCCGGTTAAATATTTTTCTTTATACTCTAACTGGGAACAAATTCCCACAAATATTGCTCTTTCTTGCCAATCTTTTTCACATAACTCACTTGCTACAGGAGACCCAATTATTTTAAATAAATCTTGCTGCCTGAGGACATTCTTTTCTTACAAAGTCATAGATCTTCCTCACTAGAACATACTGAAAGTATTCTTATTCTCATTAAAAGCATTCTGTCTTAAGAGGTGTTGCCCTCCCATTACAACAGATCTCCTGGTCTCCTGCCCTCCTTTTCCTATTCAGTGCAAAACCATCTTCTCCCTTGCTTTAGTAAGGGCTCCAGCCAGTTCTTTCTCCAAATTACACATTGGTTAAGAACCCAGAAAACAATGGCTGTAAACAAAGAATATCATTACCAATATTCTTGCATTAAGGCTTGGGGCAAAAGGAGAAGGAAAACTCCTTAGCAGATTGTCCTGGTTTCAGCTGGGATAGAGTTAACTGTCTTCCTAGTAGCTGGTACAGTGCTATGTTTTGAGTTCAGTATGTGAAGAATGTTGATAACACTGATGTTTTCAGTTGTTGCTCAGTAGTGTTTAGACTACAGTCAAGGATTTTTCAGCTTCTCATGCCCAGCCAGGGCACCTGACCCAAACTGGCCAACAGTGTATTCCATACCATGTGACGTCCCATCTAGTTTAGGAACTGGGAAGTGGGGGGCAGGGATTCGCCACTCGGGGACTGGCTGGGTGTCGGTTGGCGGGTGGTGAGCAATTGCCCTGCGCATCATTTGTACATTTCAATCCTTTTATTACTACTGTTGTCATTTTATTAGTGTTATCATTATTAGTTTCTTCTTTTCTGTTCTATTAAACCGTTCTTATCTCAACCCACGAGTTTTACTTCTTTTCCTGATTTTCTCCCCCATCCCACTGAATGGGGGGGGAGTGAGTGAGCGGCTGCGTGGTGCTTAGTTGCTGGCTGGGGTTAAACCACGACAGATCCAAAAATTTTGGATTTACAGGTCATAAGGTGCCTATATTTCAGGTGAATCACTGCACCAAAGAATCGTAACATAATCACAAAAGCAGGCAAAAAAGACAGACAGCAGATACCTGACCGAGCAATGCCGCTGTCTCTGTCCTCATTTTGTCCTCTACTAGGCATATCAACAGGCGTGCTGTGTGCTAAAACAAACAGATCAGATCAACAGAAAATATTACATAATTCATCATACTATTTGTCAGCATTTAAAAAAATGTTTAAGTTTAAAGGTCATAAAACAGCAAAGTTACATCCTGTACTGTTACTCCAAATAAGCAGTATGGTGTGAGCAGAGGTGGCAGCAAACAGTATTCCCATACTGAGTTACTAGAGGAAGTTGGTTATTTGCCCCAATCTAAAAACATCTCTAAGAAGCTTAAGAATGTGAATACAGTCTACATTATTAGAAATCAGATATGCTTTGAAAATGAGGGCTGGTGATACCCCCATCTGTCACTCTTTACATTTTTTTGTGTGTGCAATATTGTCATTTTACACAGGTTAACATCATAATTAAATAGTCAAACAGGAGGTCCGTTAAGCTTCTGATTCACTCCACAAGCAGAGATTTACTATCCAAAGCCTCACAGTAAGAAACATTCAGCTTATGTCATATTATGTTGAAGTGTTAGTAGTGCAGTCACTCAAATTGTAGAGCATGCAAGATTTGCAAAGGCTGTGAAGAAACTGCATTGGTATTCCAGTTCACATTTTTGCAATTAACAGAACTAATTAGGCCTAAGATCTACCCACCTGCATGGCTCATCAGTATGCCTGTAAAAGGAGACTATGTAGTTTAAAGTTTTGAAAAAGATAAGAAATTGATATTGTTAAAGAAAAAACCTTAAAGCCTCCCAGACTTAGCTCAAGAATTAGTTTTGAATGTCTGCCATCAAATTAAAAAAAAGTAGCAAGAGGTAAGAGAAGAAAAAAGCTGTACACCAGCAAGACACCTGCACACTAGCAAGAAACCAGCTACAAGCCAGGAAACATAAGTTCTCTAAGAAACATGAGGGCTCATTTATTATTTAAAACACTGCATAAAAATACCTTTAAAATTAAACAAAGGAATTAGAAATATGAACAAAAAGCAATTGATTTAGCTATTTTTTGGAAGAAAGATTTTTAAGTATAAGCAGATACATCTCTTGTCACTATTTTAGCCCTTTCTGTTTCTAGAGAGTAATTATGTATGTCCTGCAAGGATTCAGAAAGAGCTGGATTTGTGTGTGCATATGGATGGGTCACACTGTGGCTGGCATTCCACACAAACCTGCAAAGAAAGAAGCACTGCGGATGAGCCGGAGGGGACCTCCTTCAGACACACCCTGCAGCAGTTTGCTGCTACACAGCTGTAACACACCTAGGAAACAAAAGCAATGTAGAGAAAACGCAATGCAAAAAAGGAGGGGGGGGGAAAGGTGGTGATCCACAGGAAAAAACCCAAACCGAACAAACAGATGGCCTCATGTTGTCAGAAAGACATAGAACCTGGAAATATTTACCTAAATTACTTCCACTGCGACAGGTTCCCAAAGCATTCTGATTCGAGCTCAGCTTTCCCAGGCTGGGATCTTGGTTGATGTATTCAAAGCTATCTTGTAAGCTAAAAAGGGTGAAAAGGCCAACATTCCTTAAGAATGTGATCAATAAGCATTAATATTAGCTTGAGAATTAGGCTCATTTTATGAAAAAAAGAAGGCTGAGGATTAATTTTACAATCTAACTCAAGGACCAGTAGGTTTTCTGAAGCTGTAAGGAAACAGGCATTTATTTTCTATATAGGCTCCCTCTTTGAATTATTATAAGTTTCTGTATGTCACATTTGGGATTCAGTTTATTCACATTTGTGCATTTTTGGGACAAGGAAAGAGGGAACAGATGAGAAACAGTGTATCTTCTGTCATTGTTGAAGGAAACAGAAGTGGGGTACAGAGACACAAAGCTTTCTCAACACACACCTCTTTTTCACCCTTCTGGTGGCAGCAGGAAGACACAGAGGCTTTGATTGTCCAAAGCACCTAACCTCTGAAGTTAATTGCATGCCCTAGACAAATTAAGAAGCAGAAACTTGGAGGGATTTTACTTTTTAAACTTGGGTGGCCTGGCTGTGATCTACCAAGAAGAATCCTTCTCCACAGCTGCCATTTCTGATTTTCTACTAGACTTTTCCACTTCAGCTAAGTCAAATTTAGAAGCAGTGACAGAAGGACTACAAAAGGAGAAAGAAAAGACAACTGCATTGGATATGGAAGAAAAAAATAAAAACAAGGTTCTTACTTATTGTTACTTCCACTGAAGCTTCCTACCCTGGCTGAGAAGACTTTACTTATCATCAGCTGTGGGGGAGAGCTGAAAGGATAAACAGTCATTTCAGTGAGTCATCAATTCCAAGCGCCTGACAAGAGAGTGTGTCAAAGAAAAGGACACTCACCGTATATAGTGAATTTTCAAGGTGGAACCTTTGTAACTCATTGCTACTGAGCCAAACATCATTTCTCCCAGCATGTTGACATCAGAGGCTGGTCTGGTGTACTACACAGACAAGATGGGAAGAGCAAAGTCAATAATAACTTGGCATACTATTTCAATTTAACACAGTGCCATAGTGCTAGATTTTGGATGGAGAATACAAATAAGTTCTTTTCCATGTAGACTAAGATCCTGTGTGGTTCTAACACACTAAGTGCATGTACAAGCAAGTACAGCTGGAAGACATACTCTATTTTACTCACTAGATGGGCATTGTTACCCTTGTACCAGGGGACTTCCAAAGGCAAGAAAGAGGAAAAAAGATATACTGTATTTCCAAAGAAATAGCTGTGTCCAGCAACATTCCCATATAATGGAGTGTTTGATGAAACCTGTAGGTGTTCACAGGACTTAAATTCTGTGGTCCGGATCCCCAACCATTAAACTGTCTTCCTTATTCAAATGAGTAAATTCTCTTTCTCTGCCTTTATAGAAAGCTTCTTGGAAACATTTTTGATTGGAAAATAATTTGTGAAGACTGTGTTTCTAAGTATAATCAGACTGATTTCTTATTTTGTTTCAAAGACTGATCATCAATAGCAAATATGGAGAAGTTTGTTAATTCTGAAGGAAATCACTTACCTTCTAGTTAAATATCTTTTTTTTTCTACCTTAATCTATATGTGCTTCAAAATTACACTTTTCTAGATGAAATGTTTATGTTTTCACTGAGAAACAGCCAGAGTACCTAGAAAATAGTTCTCTCAAAGATTTCATGTTACAGTAAGACAGAATAAAAGGACTCTTAATATACCATGTTCAACAGCTTCTTCAGAACTGACCTGAGGCATAGGTAGACATCTTACAAGAACAGAGAACAGTATAGTGCTTTTTATGACCTTCACAAATAATAATGCTCCTAAATATCTTTTGTAACTCTTTCAAAGGCAAGACCAAGATAGACCAAAAAGTTAAGATGTACCCACATGTTTTACTCTACAGCTCTTTAAAGATAGGGTAGATATCTCAAGGTTCAGATCAACTTGTAATATACTAGAAGTGTAACTAGTCATTCAATACACGTAAGTTAAGGCTTTTATATACAAACGTCTTCAGTAAAATGGATAAACGCAAGCAAGAAAAGTAATGAACATTACCTGATACTTCGGTATCTGTTCTTTGATATTTTGCATACAACTTATTGAGGGACTATGGGAAGAAATATTGTTGTTCCCATTGCTTGCTTGGCAGTTCTTGGCAGAAGTCTTTACAGAAGCATCCTCTGCCATTTTCTGTGTCAAAACAGAGTAATATGATGAAAACAATTAAAGCAAATATGAGAAATCCCATCTGTAAACATACCATGGCAAGGTTTTTCTTAAACTACAGGTAAGCAACAGAAATAAGATACTCTTATTTGGTTCAGAAAATATGTATAAGTTTTAAAAGATTTTTAAAGAAGGCCATCAGAGAAAGTGCAAAACTACTCGCACATTTATAGTCAGACAAGATGTCATAGTATCCCACACAGAGTAATTAGTCAAAGTTCCAGTGGAAGATCATTCCTAATTGTCATGAATTGCTCTGTGTAACATTTGCCAAAGTTTATGTAAACAAAATCTCAGCTTATAGGTTGCTTCCAAACCAATTTTTGTAATCATTTGCACAATTAATCACTCAAATTGCATAAAACTTTTGCTCCCCAACTGAGCAACAGATTTCTTAAACAGAAGAACAGCCAGCAAAAAAAGGGGTGAATAAATGCATCTTTTAGTAGAATTACCAGGTCATAAAATCTATTTGTTAAACCTGTAAAGGAGTTGTGTTAAAAAAAAAGGCAAGCAAATAAATGCTTAAATACAGATGACCATTTAATTCAAAGTTTACTCTCAAGTCACCGTTTTAACATCATCTTAGAACTGATCAAAAAGGTGCAAAGGAATTCTTGGAAAGATACCGATTACATTAATATTATTCGCATATGTTTCATAAGACAAGCTGCATTTAATGCATTGGTATTTGCTAAATAGTTTTCTTGAACAAAACCCAATGAGTTTCTTGTTTTCTTTAACAGCTGCCCTTTTTTTTTTTTTTTTACCAATTTGAATGTCCATTAGATGTCAGTTAAAAGGGCCACATTATTTCAAACATACTTCTCACATGCACTTGAAAGGATTTGTATGAAGGGAGCAAATCTGTAACTTTGCAGCAATGAAAACTACTTAGAAAGTCTAAAGAAAGCATATCTCACACTCTTAAACTTTTTATATATTTAAGAAATTCCTTAATGAACATATATTTAATGTGTATTAATGTAAATGTTCAATCATTTGGTGCACATCAGAATGAAGTATATTTTTACAAGTCTTATTTTGCACCACCATGGTTTACCTCATTGGGAACATGCATTGGCAGAGATCAACTAAATATTTTTAAAATGTCAACAAGGTACCTGTAGATAGTTTACAGAAAAAACAAGCAAACAGGCAAAAAGAAATAGTAATAACCTAGATGCTAGTAAAAAGCAGCCATAGCCAAATTTACATCACATATTTTGGGCTTGGCAAGACAAGAAAAAAAAGGATAACAGGAAATTAAATGGAAATAAAAGTAGAAGCCAATATTCCACATGACTGATTTTTAAGATGAACACTTTGAATGCTACAGTGCAGTAACTGTAATAAGTTTTAGAATACTCAAGTCCCAATGACAAAATGATGAAATGGGCAAAAGATGCAGAAGAAGAGGAAGAGCAGGCCAAGAAGAGCAGAGTAGATGATTTGTCATTTTTTAAAAGTTGAATTTAAACTACAGTGATAGCACAGCTCCTTTACTGATTTAAAAATAAGCCTACTAGCATGTTAAAGAAAGTAAAATCCTGGACTTTATATTTTATCCTATATTTACACTCCTTTTGTGCAGTTTCTCCTGGCATAGTATTTGTGCTATTGCTTATCTAATCCCAATATGACTGTCATTAGGGGTTTAGAAATGCACCAGTGCCAGTAGTCATGTGTTGAATGAGCTATTGACAAAAATGCCTAATAAAAGTGGTCTGATATATGCCATCTGCAGAAAGAACTGGAGATTAGATTAAGAACACTGAAAAGAAATGCAGTATATTAAAAAAAAATGTTTAAATGGAATACAGACCTGCTAGTTCCCGCAGATAAGTTTATTATATGCTTTAAAGACAAACAATGTATTTGAATGTTCAATGTGAATAAGCTTTACTGTATTTCAGGAAAATGAATAAATACACATATACGCTTTCATGACTATAGTTTAAACAGAACTTAGCTTGAGAGTAATTCTGCCTTAACTTTAAGTGAATCAAGTTTTAGGCTCACTGCTTGATAACATACCAAACAAATGATGAAACATTCAAGATCACTTTTAACATCTGTGTTTGCATGCCATTCAAAGTGCTTTGACTGTTTTAAAAGGTACCTAAATTAGTGTCTGTCCACAAAACAGATTATAGCCTGTATCATGTGTTATGAGGGAGGTTCTAAGCTGTTTTATGACAGTGTTGCATAGAGTTTCTGACAGGACATTTTGTAGTTAACTTTTAGTTTAAAGTATTCAAGCAAGTGGAATAATTTGAGTATTTAAATGAAGCCAGAAATACAGTTCTTCCTCACATGCTGGGTGTTTTAAACCAACTTTAAGACACAAAGTAATGACCTTGAGGGGGAAGCAAGATTAACTGACCAATCTGACCCATTTACCCTCTTAAGTAGATGATCAGTCATCAGCTGATAATGCTCATCAGTCTTAACTGATTTGACACAATGGCATATTTGCAGTGTGACCGAAATAGAGATTGCTGGTTTTTAAGCATCTTCCTATGTAATTTCTACAAGTCACAAATATTTGTATATAGCTAGTGATTCTACAATAAGCCATGCTAGTCTGACAGGCTGAAGCTGCTGGTTGTAACAAAGGCTTCAAAACAAACAAAAATTTGAAATAATTCAATGTAGAAGAGAAACACAGAGCTAGTAAAAAAACCACCAACCAAACAACCAAAAAAACCCCAAACCAAAATGACCACAAAACAGAAGCTACTATTGTTTTACTTGTCTTAAAATCACCTAAGTTTCCTGGAAGTATTATTCCACAATTTGTGTGCCTGGAGAGCAGCACAAAGAATTTGCATCTTGACAGCACCTACTCTTGCTTCTATGTGTGTCACCAAAACTTATATGGCCATATATTGTCATGTGTCAGTCTTACACATTACAGCATGGTTAGCAAAAGTGGAGTTGTTTTAATTCACATAAAGCCAACAACTTTACTAATCCAAACACCAAAGGAAGACAAGCACATTTAGAGACATGCTAGACATCACTGGAACAATGGGACAGCACAACCAGGGCTAACAACAAAAAGCAAACCCAGTTGACATTAAAAAGGGTAAGGAAATACTCAGTTTAAAGGGGTATATATAGATTGCTTTGCTTGAAAGCAAATCAGGTCTAAGTTGTTAAGTTTCAATACCATATTCATATTAAAAATACCAGACATCTGTTCATAGGCTTTTAGAATCTAACACACCCTTGTTGCAGCTATCACAGAATCAAGTGAAAAAATCACAAGTAAGATTGAGAAGTTGACACTGTCATATGGTAATTCCTGCTTTTGTGAAGGGAAACAAAAGAGCAGTAGGACAAAAGCAAAATTAGCATTTCATACCTGAACCACAGCTTCATCAATTTTGCGGACTGCTTTGGAATCAAATAAGACCTGTCTGCCTCTCCTCTCACAGTCTTGGTAAACTATCAGGCGGATTTCATTCAAGTCAAACTCTGAAGAGGACCAGCTGCAGATTATAAACACAAGATGTTAAAAGTGTGCTTACTTTGCAGGCTTACTTAAGTGAAGAAACCGGTATTTGGCAAACACATCTTTTACTCAGCATTTACAAGAAACAGGCTTAAATCACAGAACTCTGACCAAAAAGGAACTCAAAGGAGCATCCAAGCCCAGTGTCACTGATACACAGGCAGGCACAGCCAGACCAATTTTCATCCAACCTTTCTTCAAAATTTTCCAGAAAGGGAACGCAAAACTTGGTCTCAGCAATCCGCTCCAGGGCTTAACTTCCCTTAAATTTACTCTCTCCTCTGTACAGATTCTGGATCATCCTAATTGCAAGATAGGTGTACTATTTTGTGCAATTCTCTCAGTGGCAATAAAGAACAACGGATTACCATTCTCTCTACTACAGCCTTTCACAAGCTCAAGGCTTATACCCTCCCTCATCCTTCTCTCCTCTAAGCACCACAAATCCAATTCCCTTTGACCTATTCCTGGCAATATAAGTTACAATTTTTCCAAAGTTTAATTCTCGTAACTGAAAGACAAGGTTTATGTTGATCCATTATTTTTCCCCTTTCTTTTCCGAGATGTTTGAGGGTTTACAGAGCAATTGTAGATTACCAAGACTTGACCTCTCACTATGATGAAACTCATTTAGTAGATGAAACCAAGATACCACCAAGATTCAATCTGAAGCAAAAAACTCTCAGGCCAGAATCTTCCCGTTCCTCAGAGATACACCATGGCACACAACTTGCCTCCTTGTGCTACCGCAAGAGGCTAAGGAGCACAACTGATCATGGCTGCGATGGCAAGAGACTATTTCCTAATTCCAAAGGGAGTCAGTCTGCACGTCAGAACATGGAGGTTTGCTTGGCCTCCAGTTCAACTACAGAAAATGCTGTTCATCTTATGCAGCTGACAGGATGGAATTAATGGAAAAAACCTACTACTGCATATAGCAGTGCCACACAACACTGGTGCTCAGTCTTATTGCCTCATTCCTGACCTGGATGGACCACATCTAGGGGGTAAGAGTACAACTGTTATTAATAGCTGTTGGTTTAACAAATTGCATAACAGTCAAGGCCATGCTGATCTCCCACCCAAAAGGATGTTTCATACAGGACTTTTTCCAAACTCTGACCTACAGAGAAGGACAGTATAGAATTGAAGGAAGAGCACAAAAACTCTATAGAGCTGAAAGAAAAGAATTTCTGAAGCCATTTCTTTTATTTCATGCTCTGTTAGTAGCCATAAATCAATAGTGACTTAAACACCATCAACTCCTGCTAGAGTCAGTAAGGTAACCATGGGCAACTGCTTTAGGAGCACACTCAGAGACTTGCAAATTTAAAATCATTATAAAGCCAGCTTAATTTCTTCATGCTTTATCTTGCATTTCAGGGATTAACTCCCCTTTCCATGTAGCTAGAAAGAAAAATAAGCCTAAATAAGCACCTTTTTCAAAGCTGAAAGGCCTCATCAGTCTGGAAGGTTTTATTCTATTTTTAAATACCTTGGGACAGAATAAGCCAGATACTTATCTCCACTGTAAGGTACCCTGATACAAGTACACTCCATGTACGTAATATAAAAGGGTCCAGCACACATCAAAGCCAGATTATGGAACGATGCTAAAGGCTGTTTTGCCATCAACAGTGAGGAAACTTGTTGATATGTTTGTAACATGTTGTCTCCAAAATGCTAGGAGTGCCAGGCAGATTTCTTTTCAAGTCTTCCCTTTCAAAGGGAGTCACAGCATTAAGTTAACCTGCATGAGATCAGACCTGATACTATTGTTGATAGTTGCCCAACAAAGATCCTACACACCTCACATATACAGAGAGCTGCAACTATGCCATCTGTTTTAAAAGTCTGTTACTAGTTTCCCAGCCCACTGCCTATGCAATGCTATCACAAAATCCAGTTATACAGAATGTGAGAAGTCAGGGCCATCAATAGACTTCATTCTAGTCTGCTGCATGAATCTGATATTCTTCAGTACCAGATAACTCTGATACCTCTTCAGTTATACAGCTACCTATTTACTTACACACTTTCTACAACAGACAATACCTGAAGTAACTATGCTGCGTTCTTAAAAAGGCCACAGGTCTTCCCTCCTTTAAACAACAAAGAAAGGGTACATCTCTATGGCCTTAATTTAAATTGTATGCAAGTGCAAAGCCTTATTTATCTCGAGGACTGGCACAGCAGGATCTGTAGTTCAGACCACAGGACTCAAGTCTAAACTGAGAAAGATTCATTGCAGGCACAGATTGAGCCAATCCAGCTCTGCATCAGCCCACCAATGCTAAAAGCATGCTCAATACTTATGTTGCATGAATTTAGTTTTCCTTATGAACAGGTGAACTCCCACATTCTGCACTAAAGCAAACTATATGTTGCTTGCGTGGTGTCAACTTCTGTATGAGATGTGAACTGGGTTTTATAACAAATGCTGAAGTAGAAGCCAATTGAACAGCCTGCTGAGGTGCCTTTTCCACACGGCATGCTAGAATCAGAGATTGATGCAGTCTTTCAGAACTTCAAACAGATTCTAGTACCAGACAGCAACAAGCTAAGAAGTTACATAAAATCTATCATACAGAGCTTTATGTGACTAATAGACCAAATCTAGGGAAGTGACTTCAGATAATGCTTCTTGGAGTACTAACTAAATACCAACCTTATGTTCTAATGAAGTCTTTGCTTTCAGGCTTTGAATTACCCAAAACACAGATGCAGTTCCTGCAGCAGTCCTACCTGTTACAGAAGAGATCCATCCTACCAAAATCTCATTTGATAAGATTAAGTATATCTATAGGCAGGTTATACAGGCATATAAATGCATAGTCTCATTACTTCCACGTAGAATCTAGCACCAGGCCCAAGACTAGTCAGATGACCAGGATGTTTTTCCCCATCACAAAAGCTGATGAGCAGACTGCTTACAGTACTTCCACCCCTTATTGTTCAAGCTAGCTTATATAACATACAGCCACCAAAACAGGGACAGTGGGAGCATTCAATCATCTCCTAAAAAGCAGTGTGTTGAAGAATACAGACAGTACAAAGGCTCATTGGTCAGCTCCAGTTTCATATGCGTAAAAACCAAAACCCCAAATCATTACTTGCCTCTGTATCAGCTTTTTGCTTATTTAGCAATGCTGAAAGGCATGTGCTTCTTTTTTTCTTCACATACAGTTTTTGAAAAAGAGTTAAGATTCTCTTGCATAAAATATCAGTTCATGAAAAAAACCCACCACATATCTGTACTGTACAGCTTAACATTCCTTTAGATGTTAGAAAGTAATAGCTTAAGGATTTGAGTAAGAAGAAAAAACCTTCCACTTTTCAATCAGTTGTTTCTAAAAAGTAAGACCAAAATATCTGAAATAGGCAACAGAAATATTTTAGCCTTTTTTTTCCTAAGGAAAAAAGGCTCCTGTGCTCACAGGCAACCTATATGCATACAGGTTCACCTCGCCCAATTACTTGTTAATTCACTAATCAATTTCAACCACCAGGTTTGACGAAGGGATATGTATTTCTATCCTCAAAAAAAAAAAAAAAACAGTGAAGGAGATAACAGACCCTTTCCTCTCTCCCCCCAAGGCCACAATATGAACTAATGTTAACTTTAAGGCAACAAAAAGATCCTCACGATGCATATGTGGGAGATAGAGGATGGGGAAAAAGAAGATTCTGAAATTGTTATGTGAAAAGCTTGCACCAGAATTTGCACATTATTAGGTTGAATTTTCTATTTTTCATTGACAATTCTGTAATGAAATTATTAATTCTTCCACTTTCAGACTGGAAAGCAAACCCTCAACACGCTTACAAAAAGCTCCTTATTTTCCAGCTGCACCACATTATGAGATTCTAACAGTCTACTCCATGTCCAATTATAACAAATATCAATGTTTATTCATACCAGAAGTGCCCTTTTAGCACTTCGCCACCACCCCCAACACTCTCCTACTTCATGTCTCAAGACTCAGTTGTTTTCCTTATACTCATTTGGTAAAATCTAAACTCTAAACTGGCACACTGTTGATTGTTTCTTTTTCCTGTTTCTGCCTAAAACAGCTTACCCAACCATATTTAAGTACTGAAGGAAGCTATGTGAGTTATATAATATGAGTAGTTTTGCACATGTACCTACTGCTGAAAGTGTTACTTCTGATAACAAAACTACAGAGCCCCCAGAGTAAGCTTCGTATTTCTTATGAAAGTTTAGCAAGAACAAATGTGCTACAATCACTGCTTTTGGACAACAACTGTTGCTTCCTTCAGCAAGCTTAAAAAAAGCCTTCAAAAATAAATTTTGCTAAACACTAACTGAAACATCATTTGCCTTAGCCCTGTTTACATAAAAATTTTCTCATTCTGCTTATACAATAAAGATCTTACATATTCAATTCCTTTTTAAGAACTACTTAGTAAACAGAATGATAAAAGATCTGTGCTGAAGGAATACATATTGCTAAATGACTTATAAAACAAATGTTACAAATAAAATTAATACAATTATAGTAGGGGCTTTTTCAACCACCTGAGTGTCAATGTACTGCAAAATGACAAAACAGGCTTCTGAAGAGACTGACAGCTAACTGAAATGTTTCACTTCGGCTTAAAAACAATGCATTATGCCAGGTCCTGCATATTCTTAAAAAATTAGCTGAATTAATTAAATTAATATGAGCTTGTACGGGTGTTCATATTTCAGGTTAAATGTGGTTATTTTGACCAAACATAATGTTTTCTTATTTAACCACAAAAAAATAAAAGCCCCACATATTCTTTCTCCCTTCTCTTTTTGGAACTACATGACCCTTCTTATTACTCATGTCTGCTCTGGTAATTGCTGGACCTTTCCATAAACTAAGTGAATTCTCTGCAGCAGCAGAAGTCTATCCCTGCACATGAAAGCAGATCAGAAACTTAGCTGGAAAAAGGAAGAAAGAACTGGAAGGCAATGGAATCTTCACCTCTTGGTGGCAGCATGAGTTATACTAATTCACTTCATCCATGGAGGTATATACCTTTAGGAAAGGGCACAAAGAAAATGTTCCCAATACATTCCAAACAAATATCGAGGCTAGTTAGAATGTTAATTGAGTTTTCTTGTTTCCAAGTCAGTTTTCTGCCTGCTTAGTGAGCTGAACTGACTCCTTAAGGGGAGCCAGTTCCCAAAGGATTTGGAAAAGCCAAGGCTAGCACAGGGGGAAAAAGGACAAGAGCATGATGTCAGAAAGCAAAGGAAGAAGAGGCAATGTGATTACTCCCTTCAGCATCAGCAGTCTGTTTGAACAGCCTAGCTTATCTAGGCTCACTATCAGACTGGATCTTTCCTGCATGTGGAAGATGCTAGGACTAATAAACATCATCTTCAAGTCAAAATAAATAAATTAAAAAAAAAAAACCAAACCCAAGCTTTCTACTTTCATACAACAGGAAAACCAGGTCTACTAAAGATATTAAAACACATGGATTTTTTTTTTTTTTTTGAAAGGAAGCCACAAGTTTGGAACAGGTTACAGATATCCTGGGAAGTTTTCTGCCCAGATTCCCTATTAAGCTTAAGTTTGCTTTATTTTCTCTTAAATTGGCATATAAGCTACTTTCCTTTGGCTTGTTCAACATTTCTCCCATTACAGATATGAGACATGGAGGCAAGAAGACGTCTTTTACTTAGGGGAAAGCAGACTCGTTTGTTTCTGGAAAAAAGTCACAAAAAGTTTTCTCATTCTGCCCCAAATCAGTATTTTCAGCTAATATAGATCTCCAAATCCTGATCTTTACAAAGAAAGCTTTTGGTTCACCTTTATAATAATCAGCACGCATGCATGCAATAACTGAAGAGTGACCTATTAATTTATATTAAAAAACTACTTCAGCTGACCTTAAAACATTTTTGAAAGTGACTAACCACTCACTACTTCAGTGCAATTTCTATAGGCTAGAGAAATAAAAAGGCTGAAACATATCTATATACCTATCTATCTGTCTATATTTTTCTGCTTCTTAGATCAGCAATCCTGAATGTAGAATATTAATTTGGAAGAAAGCTGCCCTGAATCATATTTTCAACACAGTTACGCAGCAGTAGCGACTCAGACATTGGAGACATGCTGGCGCACATCTGAAAAAGACACTACAAAATTCAAAGAAACACTGTTCATACTCCAGATTACTTTGATGTAATGCTTGATCTAAAGATTATTTAGAAGTTAAAGCAGAGGGTTCCCCTCTCCATTCTTCCCCCACTTCATAGCTTTCTCTCCTGTCTGCTCTGCACACTGTTACTACTTGACCCACTAACACAGGAGGTGGCAAAAAAAAACAAAAGAGGGGAAACTAATTAGAAAACTAGAAAGAGAAGGTAAGATTATTTAACCTTAACTGAAAAGAAAGGCAATTATCCTTCATGCCTCAGTTTGCATATATATAAATCTTACACATCAGAGTCAAGAATGTAGATTCAGTTGCAAACAACAGGGAAGACTTTCTGGAGTACCAGTCACCATCATCAGCAAGAATAAGCTTCTAATAGAACTTTTCCAATTATTTACAAAATAGCCTTTAAGGCACATCATTATAAATCTAGTATCAACTAAAAATGTCCATTCTCTGTCAAAAATCATATATATCAAAAAAGTTACATGCATACCTGTTTTGCAGCAGTCTAGTCACTTTGTTCACACAGCTGACACTTTGGTCTCTCAAAGATTTTCTAATCCTTTCATCCAATTTGGTACAAGAGAGATTATTTCCAAGTGGTATATCGTTGTTTCTTGCTCTTTCTATTTGTCCCCCTGTGCCATTTGTAGCTTTTGGTGTACCCCCACACATTTTCTTTTGCTACAAATCCTCTTGTAAAGCTCCCTCAAAGAAACTAAATAGCCGCTGAAGAGATAGAGCCTCAAGCGGATTTCTTTACTATAGATCAACCATTAACAATGGTAATTTACCATCAGCTTTCTTCCCTATACAGGAACACTCTCCACTGAATTTCCTGTTAGGAAAAAAAAAGGCAAAGAGATCTTCATATATTCTATAAGCCATTAATGCAGAAAGACTGCTGTAGCTAATGTACTGCTGCAATTATTCCAGACAGAAGAGTAGACATGACTTTCAAGTTTCAGAAGCCATCGTAGACTTGCTCCTGCTGCTGTTAAGAATTTTTCCTACCAAGCCTGGCACAAAGCTGTAGCAGATACAACAGCTAATATTGACTTTAGCTATGTTTGTTTCCTGGTATGTGATTAGGTAGCCGGCAATTATGTAGTCACAAGACTGAACCATATGGCCTCTTAAAAAAAAAAAAAGCATAGTTGCTTTTGCAGTGACTCGCCCTTAGTTGCAAGGTTGTTCTAACAACACCCTGTTAATGGCTCTCATGTGAGCAAGTGTCATCTGACAACCCCTAGCAACCTCATATAGCTTAGGAGCAAATAAGAATCTGTCATCATTGCCATATGGTTATCAGTTTAAAATAATGACCAACACCAAGAAACACACTAAATACGCTGCACTGTAATGCTTTTACTTTTAAGGACAAACAGTATTCACACTTGGCTAAGAATCTGAAACTACTATTTTGAAAAGCTTTCTTAAAAAAGTAGAAGGGAAAACAGCAACCAAAAAAGTTTGTTACAGACATCAAGTTGGTTGATGAGAATTTATAGTCATGTGCCTATTAAAACAATTTAATGGAAGTACTGATGACAAAAATATCTAATAAAATATTTCTGACCAAGAAAATTTAAGTTTTTAAACAGAACGAAAGAACCCGACGTTTTGTTCAGGCTCAGGTAATTTTACTGCAGAACAAAGTCCTTTTCTCTACCTCTGCTTTAAAAAAAGTTAGCCATACATGTCTGCTCATAATTCACACCTTACATAGCCCCCCCGCCAACAGTAAAATTTTAGACTTTTTATAGGATGAGAGCCATAGTGCTACTTCTCTTCCAGATTAAAAAGGGAAAATAACTTTGCTAATGGTCACCCAGAAATACAGCAGTAGAGTTAGAAAACACAGTAAGATTTCAAAACCTAGGGCTACGTGCTACCTGCTAAATAGCACAGCACCCTTCTTAAAAGGATTTTGTAATCTCAGTAAACCCCAACCTCTAAACACTGGACAAAAGTCAAGTAGAAAACTAGAGCAAGGTTAGATTGAACAACTTGCTCAGTTGCAGAGGGAAGCCTATAGCAATAAAAAAAAAGCTCAGTTTCAATTCCCATAGTGAGAAGTACTAAATCACAATCATTCCTCCTCCAGAGTGAGGGGAAACAAGTGAAAAGTTTTGGCCTGTTCTCAAGTTATTCAAACCATCTGCAAAAGAGTGACTCCTAGCCCTCACCTCATTGAGGAGGACTACTTTAAACATCAGTGTTCCTAGTCACCTTTGAGGTGCGAATGAAACAAGCAGCTGATGGCCAGGTTCCTACACTTAGACCAAGATCAGCAACTGACAGCCTTCACTTCTGTCCTCTCTTTCCCCCAAACAAAAACTGAAAAAAATTCAGAAATATTCAGTTAAGTGACTGCAATATTGGATTCACATCAGAGACTAGAACTAGGAATTCCTGTAAGCTCACTAAATAGATGTGCTTCACAACACTACCTCATCTGTAGATGAAGTCATCTGTAGAATACTATAAATCCCCAAATACCTGGGGAATTACCACCAAAAATCCTCAGAATAGTTTCTGAACAAAAATAAAGTACTGCAAACCCACACATGGAAAACACCCTAAGTCCAAGGAGCAGATAATACACAAAACAGAAGAAAGTACCCTGCTTTCCAGATATAATCCTCTTGGAAGCACAGTTTAATCACTCTTTTTCTAGGCTATGTGACAGCATGTCACCTGCTCTGTTTGTAGGTCATTTCCTGTCCTTCATCTCCACTGCAACACAATTGCCTAAATAATTTCAACTCAAGGTAATACTTTAGCAAGAAAATTTGGGGTGGGGGAAAGAGGAAATATATATGATGGACTTATCTACTTAAGAATAATTTTCTGTGTAAGTTACAGCTGTTCACTAAAACTTAAGCACTGTTTTCAAATCTAACAGAATATTTGCAGAGCCCCCATAAGATTTATTTTCCAAACAGCTTCTAGAAGCAGGCTAGAGGAGTGTAGGAAAACAGAAAGTTTGAATCAGATCATACCTGCTATTTCAGTAAGAATTTGTTTTTGCAAAACATACACTTAGCAAAATTGATACACAAAAAATGCTTGTGACCCAGACATTCAGGATGAGTGCCGAAACACACGTTTAAAGGTGAAGTGCAATCTATTTTGGATTGCTTAATGATGAATTTCCCTCTTTTAGTCTGTTGACTAGCTGATGTAGAAGATGTAGGTTCCCTTCCTCCCTCCCAATTTGAAGTATTTACCCTGCATTGCTCCTCCTCTTTTTAAAACCTTGGATATGGAAAAGTTGTGCTGATGCCACACATTCTTTTTCCACAATGATTTAAAGTAGTCCTAATATGGTGAAGCACTATTAACCTCAGATGAACCACCTTGTTCAAGCATGATACATAGTTACTAGTTTCACACAAGTTAGGCGGGATACATTGCAGGTTAGTCATGCAACAAGTAAAGGAACATGTCATTTGCAGCACTTCTCTCTCTAAGATTTTCCTGTAGAAAAAAGTTCTGGTAGAGAAAAATAAAGTCCTTGATCTCAGATCACTGTACAGAAAGGTTACTTTTTTCTTTTTTTTAAGATAATTCTATATGCTACTGTATGAAAAGCAAAACAACATTGGATATATTTGTTCACTGAAAAGTTAGAATTCCATATTAGGGAAGGAGAATACACTGGGTTTTTGCAAGGTTGGAAGCATTTTTCATCATCTTTGTTGCTAGAAAGCAATACCATCACGCACATGCACAAAAAATGACCACAAAAACCACACACACCTGATAGAGGCTAACAAACAGATCTATACAAGTTAAAGTCACCATAAGTTGCACACATCAACTGTCCACAAACATCAAGAACAGCTATTAAACCAGTGTTTCACAACTCAGCCAACTTGCATAAGTTTGGATTGTTCATTGGCTTATCTAACAAGTCAGAAGTTTAGGAGCTAGGTTTCATACAGTGTCTCAGTGATAATGTAAAAAAACCAAAACAAACAAATGAACCCAACACAAAACCAAAACCCTAACCAAACAAAAAAACCAACAAGAACAACATGTTTGAAGTAGTACCATAAGCAGCACAGAGACGATGATCTCAGTTGCTAGCCCCAGAAAAGGAATTCCTCGTTAGCAAAAAGAAGAGCTCAAGACTTGTAATTGCACAAAAAACGTGCATTATTTGTGTTCTACCGTTAAGAAAAGTGTATTTATTTTTGTTAAACCAGGACGTTAAACAAAGAAAGGTAAAGTATGCAATAAGGTTAGCACCCTAGAACCATCACGTAGTCCTTTCCTCAGCACAGCCAGCCTTGTTGAGTTTTAATCAACTTTCCCTGTTCCCTCCCACTCCCCTCCCCAACCCCCACAGCTTCTAACAGCTAGGAGAGGTCAGTTGATCTAAATTAAGTCAAATACTTTGCAGAAGTTGTTTCAAAGTAATAATCTTTATAATTTCAAAGAACTGAAGGTTTACTTGTTAATTTAACACTCTTTAGGGTTCGTTTGGGGTTTGGTTTTGGGTTTTTTTCCCTGTTTATCTTTTTCAAAGACACCCCCAGGAACCAACTTCCAGCTTTCCCTGGAGCCAAACTGGTTTAGCCGAACGGCGGCAGCCGGACGGGAGCAAGCGAAGCTCGGTCCAGCATCTCTGCTGAGCGCCGGGGGGCAGGCCACCCGGCCAGCAGGGCCACCCCACCTCCTCGGGCACGCAGCGCCGGGTCTCGGCTCATGCATCATTCCCGTGTCACTTGTTCCAGCGGCGCCATGTGACTGGGCCAGCGTCCAGGAACACAGCTACTAAATACAGACACTGCCAAGGCACGTCTGAGAACTGCCTCTGCCAGAAAACGGGATGAATAGAAATCTCTCATCCTACCAGCTTTCCTGTCTCTGCCTTTCCCCACCTTCTGTCAAACAGCAGGAAGAACTACACATTGCACATCTGAAGGAGAATTTTGAGCAATAGCACAAGGCAGAATCTGGTATTTATAACACTGTACCAGCTCTTGTTGCATTTCAACGCTGTATGAAAGTACTGACAGATCTCAGACCTTAATATCTCCTATGTAAATGAGCAGGCCAGCACAGACATCACCACCACACCTTAGGGGCGGTATCCCGAGGCATGGGTTTGGTTGCCTGCTCTTTCCTGTTCCTTCTCCCTCTTCTATAAAGCCCTACTTTTTTTCAATTTTTTTTTTTATTTAATAACAAAAAGTCTGTATGCAGCTTTCAACCCTCTGTTCAAAGGAGTAGTTTTAGAATATGAAAATAAAAAAAACTAAGAAACAATACTATTTATTAGATGTAAGTAAATACATATTAATGCCAACTGATACAGAGATACGAACATTTGATGTTCAACATCCCCCCCCCTTTTTTTCTGGTTAGTTGAAAAATACTCCTTTTGCTAAAACACACACAAACAGCTTCACTCAAAGTCACTAAAACCACCCACCTATTAACAAAAACAATTTCTGTACAAATTTCCTCCACTCCTACTATGAAAAGGTTACGTTCACAAGAGGGCTTTGTAAACTTCGGAGGACATGGCATTCTCTCTCAAACTTTAGAGCCAAATAAGTTTAGGGTACTCTCTCCAGGGGTGCAGAAAGCATTGCAAATCCCCTCCTCATCCTTGTTCTGAACACGCACTCTCCCACCACACAAGAAAACACTCTCAAGCA